GATACATGTTCCCTGTCCCTGAGAACCTAAATTGGACTTGTACGAATTTACATGCTCTTTGACCCCGTTGATTCTTTTCTTTACTTCGAAATCTTTGCTCAATTTTCCTCGTCTTGAAATTCAATCCACTTCAAAGTACCTCTTAATTTCTTCATTAGAATATTCAAACTAGTCATACACACACAACACGGCGTAACCTTCTTTTTATCTTTGCATTGGCGCAACATCTAAATTAATTAATAATCAATTATACTAATAGTGCATATACAAAATTTAAAGAAGATGACAGTAATAATTAGGTTAAACAGTAATTTTACTCTTAAACTATGAGTATAAGAATGTTTGATATTTTAAACTCATTCTTTATATATTTTAATCCCTATAATTAATAAAATTTAATTTTTATTATTAGTTAATCAAAAAATTATTAAAAAATATTTTAAAAATTATAGACAATGGCCCACCAAATTACAAAAAAAAAATCTTGATCATTTTCTACCATTTTTGAAGTCTTTTTCAAAAATTACTTCAATCAATTAACAATTAAAGCTAACATTAATTAATGATATGAGTAATATTGTATTATTTTAAAAAATTTAAGAGAATGTTATATTAAAAATGAATTTATGATCATAAAAAACTTGGACTTATAGTCCAGGAACAAATTTGTTGCAATGAATGGTTGATCAGGAAAATCACTTTATTTTGTTTATTGGTTTTGTGTATGGAATGGATCAAGTTCTTCAAGTGTCTAAAACCAGTAACTCTTCATTTGCTAGAGGCCGGAAAATAAAATAATCTGGACATGAATGAATCGAGCCTTATCATAATCGGAAGCAAACAAATATCATAATCAAATCAAAATCAAAACAGCAAAAGCCTCCAAAGTCAGAATAATGGATCCCGCAGGTATGGTCAAATCAAGAAATGTCAATGTGGTTATGACGTGTGATTGTGAGTGCATCATTTAATTTGTTTTCGTGGAGGTGTGATGTGCGCGCGCATCAAATCTTTAAAGTCGTACGTTTCACATCAACACCTGTTTTTATATTTGATGCGGAGACCAAAATCTGCCACCCCCATTATTTGTAAATCCATGTGTGATGCGTTTTGAAAGCCATATGTGTAATTAAACAATTAATAATTATTCGCGTCGCACCATTTCATGCACGGTGCCTCATTTGGAAAATGTTGGATCATCAACGCAGATTAAAAAACATAGTGGGCCGCATTCTTTGTGTGTTTTTTTTAATTATTATAAAATTTTCATAGATCGCGAAAAGAGAATAAGTATTGTATATAATCTTTTTTCTTCAACAAAATTTATTGTATATAACTGTACTAATGTTACAATTTAATATTACATAATCAAGTTATTTTCCATTTTTTCTTTAAAAAATATCAGCATATGTCACTCTCTCCGTTAAAAAATGTAAGACATTTTTTAAAAAGTTGAATGTTAAAAAATGTAAGATATTTTTAATCTTTTGATATATAATCATTGTCTTTTTTTTAAAAGTACCCATATTAATAATGACTTTATATTTATTATGAGGAGTTTAATAGTAATGAATATGGAAAGATAATGTTAGTTTGAAAGTAGGTAACTACTTTATTGAAGGGTAAAATTCAATTAAAAATACCTCATATTTTTTTAAAAAAAAGTATAATTTTAATTAGTAAACGAATATAGTAATACTTTACCGTGGCTTGAATATACATATGTGTATATGTGTGTGTGTGTGTCATCCTTGTTAAGTGATTTCTTTAGTGTTGGTTTTAAAAAACTAACAACCTAAATATAAAAAAACCATGTCATGATTACATTTTATTTAAAAAAATTAATACAAAACGCTCAATAAATAATCGCATCTACATTTTGTTATATGAAAAATAAAAAGGGCGTTGGGTGTGCATTAAAATTCAGTTTCAGTAATTTGTATAATGTCATCTAGTTAAAAGTTATGCTAAATTGTTTGCAATGTGTCTGCGTGGATTAAAAAAAATTAGATATTTTTTCATGCCGGATTGGATTTAAAAATTTTTAAACAAACACCTTGAATGTTATTTATATCAACACATTTAAGATTGCTAAATTTTTTAAAATTTCTCTATTTAATCATGTTTTCTTCTTCTTGAATATTTTATTCATGTACATCTTGTCTTTGTTTCTCAAGCTTATAGTAAATTAAAAATATAGTATGAAAAGATTGAATTTTTGATGATTTTACTATACATGATTATGGTATAAAAACTTTTGGATAGGTATCCTTTCATTTTTTTAAATGATGAAGAAAATGTGAATTATGTATTTTTTTATATTTAAAATATATAAAACACAATTATATTTCTTATTTTGATTTTATATTTATAGTGTATTGTTAGAAAAATTATAACACAAATGTTTTTTCATTGAAATTGTATATAATTATATGTCTAATAATTTAAAAGTGAGAGAATTAATCTTTGTAAATTGCTAAAGTTTAATACAAGAAAATCGTAAGTAATAATATAGATATAGTCAAGTAATATAGATAAACACTTATCAACAATATTAAAAAGTTCTATAAATTAATACATTTTTATTCCATTTTGTGGTAGTGGAGTACAAGATAATTTTCTATCATCCAATACAAATGACAATAAAGATGCTCGCCAAGAGGTACAACAAGCTTCCTCAGATGTTTAAGCTCATGCCATTGGCACTGTATGTAAAAATTGAGAAAGATGAAGTTACTGCTCTCATAAAACTTGAACTTTATTTTAAAATTTATGAATGAGATACATGAATTCTTAAAAATAGACACGAGAGAATATTGAGAGACATGAGATAAATAAAAAAGCTGAAATGGGTGTACTTACTGTTCCCGTAAAACTTAAATTTTATATTTAAAATTTAATAACGAGATATATAATTTTTTAAAGATAGAGACTAGAGAATATTGAGAGATGTGATTTAAATGAAAAAGTTGAGACAGATAGAGTTACTGCTTCTATAAAACTTGAATTTGATATTTAAAATATAATAATGAGATACATGAATTCTTAAAGATAGAGACAGGACAATATTGAGGGACACAAGATAAATGAAAAGGATGAGATGGATAAAGTTACTACTCCCATAAAACTTAAATTTTATATTTAAAATTTAATAATGAGATGCATGATAAATAAAATGAACTGATGAATGAAAAGAATTAAAATTTAACTAAAGTTAATTGGCCAATAATATTAAAAAGATTCTGACCAATTAGTGATCTTCTAAAAAATTTGTGTGTGTATATGTATATATATTGATAGCATGCAACGATAAAACAATATTTTTTGTCGAATTGAGACATGATTTCATACCAGAATTTATATATTTACCTGTGGGCCAAAGTCTGCTGCCTTATTTGAAACTCACAACAAAATAAATGCTTTCCTGTTCACAAGAAAAGTAGATTATTTAAATTTTGAACACCTTTTGCATTTGGGGTTTATGTTTGCTTTTCGCGTGGAATTTTAATGTGGATTTTCATCAACTAATTCATATATTTTAAAGCCACACTCGATAACTTTTTTCTTAATTAATATTATACAGCATCCCATTCTTTAATTTTAAGAGACTAAAATACGGGGGGCCCTCTAGCAATCCTAAACAAAGAAAAGAAATTAAAGAAATAAAGAAATTGAGAGTACATGGATAAGCTAATTAATATGAATTATCAATTAATTAAATATAAAATTTCCAACTTTATACTATTAATAAGTTATGAAAGCGGCTTATACTTTGTTTACTTATCGTACTTTGTATAACATACTGATGAGCTCATTTATTTATGCCAAGGACATACATACATACGCTCCAAGGACCTAAAGTTCAAATTCTAAACATGTTCTTTTGACTCTCTTGGATTGCTTTGACGTGCCGAGCCCCTTCTTCGTCTCCTTTTTTTCCTTCAGCTTTTTTTTTTTTTTTTTTTGACCAGGAACCTTTTTCGTTGTTCAATTTGCGTGCTTTAATTTTGAAATTCAAATCTTCTGACATTGTACCGCTTCAAAGTACGTATACCTGTCAACTCTTAACATATTTTTATAATAATCATTTGACAATGTTATTTTGTTTTCAAGAAAAGAAATGATTTTTAAATAAATTTTAATTATATTTTTTATTTTTTGAAAGTGACCCGTGATTAATATCTGTGCAGGGACTTGAAACATTTCGTGTCGCAGTAGTGGCAAAAGTCAGTTGGCATTTTATTTTCTTTAAGGAGATCATGGTCGGGGGAAAAAAACACAAGAATAAACCAACAAGAGTTTCCACTAAAAAGTATTAATTAGTCCCCCTGCAATGTGATGAAAAAAATATTTGAATCTCTATTAAAAAAATTGTGCTCATATTTAAAGCGACCCACAAATAACATTGCCTGCAAGGTGAGTGAGAGAGAGAGACAGAGAGAGAGAGGGAGAGAAATGACCATATTTTAGTAGTCTAAAGAAAATGATTTGTTCTAGGGAGAATATTATTGAGACATGTTCAGCTCATGATTATTGAAGTTTCCCCCAGTTTTCATGCTCTCGTACTAGACTAGTAGCATTCTTTTTTCTGCTGGCCCAAAAAAACACAACAGCTATCATAAATTAAAGTTTGCTCATTAAAATCAAAATGTGACAAAACAGGCTCTCAATCGGACTCCATCACTCCGCAGCTTCTTCTCCTCAATTACTGGCTCACCAACACAAATTTCAATTAAATTACATAGACATAGAATGGAAATTTTGTACTTTTGCAGATGCAGAGATAGGATTTACCTCCAGCTGAAACTGGATTTTTATCTCTAGCCATGGCAGCCACGAGCAGAGCCATCCAAAGCCGGGTAGTTTATTATATTATAACGATTCCTTTAAACCGCCTCTCTCTCTCACCCTTCCAGAGTCCGGAATTTGGGGTTTTGAACGTGGCAGATTTGGGTGGAGAAAGGCAGGTAAGCAGTATCCTCTGCCACGCGTGAAATTGCATGCGACCCCAATGCCATCACGTACTGCTAACAGCTAGCCTCGCCATGCAGTCCCCACCTATAAGATCTGACCTCCAGTCACTTGGGTTCCCACGCCACAATTTCATCAGCATGGCCGCGTCCAACAACACAGAAGTCCCCGGTGAACCTACCACCATCGCCACCTCCCTCCTCGAGACCGCCACTTCCGCCATCCAAAGCTTCGCCCCCATCAGCAACATTCACCAGCACCTTTGCGCGTCCGTATTGATCCATTCATTCACTCTTCGTTTAATATATTCGTTCTTGGTCTTTTAAATCCCAGAATTGATGCAGGTTCCATTTTTACGCCGACGACATGACGCGGCACGTGGAGGCTCACCACTTCTGCGGCCACCTGAACGAGGAGGTGAGGCAGTGCCTGATCTTCGACGGGCCGGACAAGGAAAGCAAGATGATCGGCGTGGAGTATATCATAACGGAGCACATGTTCTTGACGCTGCCGGACGAGGAGAAGAAGCTCTGGCACTCTCACCTCTACGAGATCAAGGGTGCCATACTGTTCATGCCCAGGCTGCCACTGCCCATCGAGCTCCAAGAAATGGATACTCTGAGCAAGACTTATGGCAAAACCTACCATGTCTGGCAAATCGACAAGGGTCACTCTTTCCCATTTGGCCTGCCTCAGCTCATGATGGCTTTCACCAGAGACGGCCAGATTGACGAGGACCTCCACCGAAGTGCGTGCCTGACAACACGCCGTTTAATTTTGTTTTGCCATCTGTTCATATATATATATATATATATATTCTTCTTTGTGCTTGCTTATATGTGATATGAGTCGTAATTCATTCCCATGAGTGCAGATGCTGCGCAGCGTTTTGGGGTTGACCTCAAGAAAGAGATAGAGAAGAGAGAACACATATCAGGGCTTGCACATGGAGTCCATCCTCTGGCAAATGCAGGAGGGAAGGGTCTTAAGACCGTTTTGAGGGAGGTCCCGTTGAGCCCTGATGATGCTGTTCCCCCTGGTGCCGCCAGGGTCTTTGTATGAATGAATCCCTCAATCACTAGCCTGTTCTGCTTTTTCTATATATGGGACCTGTGAATGCTCATGTCAGATATATCTATGTACTATATATCTCACGATCACTAGATTGGTGTTTGTTCCTGTTAAAAGCTTCGTCTCTAGCACTAACAACGTTTCCACAAATATACGTTGCCATGAATAATAATGGATACAAATAAATACTAGGTTTTTTGTCCATTATGGTAAAGTACTCATTCTTCTATATCTACAAATTAAGAGTAATAGAGTCTTCGAGTATCAGAAGAAAAGAATTGCAGTTTCTGTCTATATCGATTCATTAATGTATTTAACTGTTGATTAATTTCTTAATAGGGTTAGCTTCAGATTATTTTTAAGTGATAACTAGCTACAAGGTATAATTATGAGGAAACGAAGACATTATTGTTCAAACGAACTTGTTTATTAATAGCTCATTATCAGGATCATCTATTTATAGAATGATCTGTTGATTTTTAATTCAAGCTTTTTTGCTTATGCATTGGAGGTGGCCTCCTAAGCTTAGTTGCTAGCTCAAACGAATATGCAATTTCAATCAGTGTAGGTTCTGAACCTCTCAAACCTCCAAAGGCAATTCCAATTGGCTTGCCATTGTTGTAGCCTGCAGGCACAGTAATTCCAGGATACCCTCCAATGGCAAGTACAGCAGCAAGCTGATCAGAACGAGGGCTTACCAGTGCGCCTAGTTTATTCACTTTCATAACTTTCTCGATTCCATTCTTGGACAAATATGCCAGGGTTGATAATGCTGCTTGTTCTGTCTTTCCAATTCCAGTAGTCTTTTGAGCAGCTGACATCAAGTTTTGGCTATACTTACTAGTTTCCTCCTGCAATTTGCTTGAATATTTCAATGCTCTCTCTCAACTTTTATTTTAACTATATATCTATGACTATCTGCGTTAAATAAATTAAACTCAAGTGGCTACCATATCACAAGTGTAAAGAAGAAATGTACACACATAATTTTATTGAACTATTCTCTAACAATAATTTTATTGAACTATTCTCTAACAATAATAATAAGGGAAAATTTTAACTAAGGATAAGGGATGTGATTTAATTGTTAACAAGTCTCAAAAAAAAAGTTCTCTTCACTTCTTAATTTTGTTTAAGATGCAAAATCATTAGTTATTAATTTTCTTACTTAAATTGTTAACTCACTAATATGAGTTGTAAATTTACAATTGATATTAGTAAATTAACAAGTTAGCACTAATATGAGTTGTAAATTTACAATTGATATTAGTAAATTAACAAGTTAGCAAATTAACAACTGATATTACTGTTTGTCTAACAAACTGATTGAACAACTGATATTTAAGTCTTGTATGATTATTGATAGGTCAAATCATGTAATTTACAGCTCATATTGATAAAGTAATAAATGAAGTAAGAAAATTAACAGCTAATGATTTCGTATTTCGGACAAATTAACAAATGAATGCTACTTTAATCTTTTTATATTTAAAATTACTTTCACTTCAATTCTCTTGGATTGAATTAAAGTTTTTGATTCTTTTAGAATCCATTAATAATTAAGTTGCACCCTGGTTTTTGGTTGAAATTCTCCCTAATAATAGTATGTATAAAAAGCGGTATAGTCTAATGCTCACCAAGTTTGCATGTTTGTTGTTGTAGTTGATCACTTCCTCTAGGTTTCTCACGAGAGAAGCAATCAAATCTTTAAGGTATGAGTTCAAGTCTAGTTTGAATTCAGCTAACATTGCAGTTGTTTCATATCCATGAGCTTTAATCATTTCAATGTTATCTATCTGCAAATTGTTAACCAGGATAGCCCCTTGCTTCCTAAATGTGATTCCAAGTGTAAGCATCTTGTTGCACCAATTCACTAGCATGATTTAAGCTATGCATAACAGTTTAGGTTACCTTAGTGTCTTCTGGCGTTGGTCATAAATTTTTTGCAGCAAAGTACTGTTGTCAAATTTGTAGAAATATCTCACTATCCCTAGCCTCTTCCCTCTTATCCCATCTTTTCTCAGGAACTGAGCATATCTTCCTTTTGGGACATACTTTGATGCTTTAATTGTTGCCTTATCCCTAATGTCAATGCCCACAATGGCTTCAAGAACATATGCAGCATCTGAGACAGTCCTGCAAATAGGTCTGCACCATTCCACAGAACAATTGCACACTTGTTAAGGGTATTCCCACATTCAAAATCTTTTTTATACCAGAATATCCAATTCACAATAATAAATTGTTCTAACATTTGACTATCCATGCTTATAACAAAATTAATCACAAGATTAGATGACAGTTTTAAGCCGCAGGAGACATTTGTATTGAACATAACACACAAATTTTGAGACGTGTAGGCAACTACTTGAAATAGAATGGCTTACCTGCTGTGTCTTGTCTTAGGGAGATTGGAACTACCCCATTTCTACTAGTGAGACCGACGGTGGGTTTGATGCCCACTACAGAGTTAGATTCAGAAGAACATAAAATGGAGGCATCAGTCTCAGTACCAAGAGACACTGTCGCAAGATTTGCGGCTACTGATATTGCAGATCCACTGCTAGACCCGCAAGGATTGCGGCTACTGATATTGCATCAGTCTCACACATTTTATTGGGTTCCGGGCAGCTCTTTTTTTATTTTTATTTTTTAAAATTTGTATCATACTACATCTTTTAGCAGCATTGAATTTAATCTTCAAAAAGAAAAAATCCCACACCCTGTAGTCTTGTAGAGAATCAAACACATAGTAAAAGGGGAAAATGAAAAATAAATACCTTGCCTTGTCCACCTCTAGCACTCCAACAAGAGGGTACTTCACCTCCCCTGAAATGGGACCACTCACTCAAGGTAGCCTTCCCTAATATGATAGCCCCAGTTTTCCTGAGCTTTGAGATCACCCCTGCATCTCTAGGCACCACAGATCCCAGAAGCGCATATGACCCGGCCGTTGTGTTCATCTTATCCTTGGTTGATATGTTATCCTTCACCAGAATTGGGACTCCGTGCAATTTCAGCAAAGGACGTCCTGCACATCGACGTCGTTCTCGATCGGCCTTACCAGCTTGGGCTAGCGCATCAGGATTGACCTCCAAGACCCCCTTGAGAATAGGGTTGAGCCTGCGGATTTCTTGAATGTAGAACTCAACGAGCTGCCTGGAGGTCAGTAGGTTTCTGTGGAAAGCAAGTTGGAGATCGCTTACAGTGGCTTCTCTTATTGAAAACGATACTGAATTGCCTTGTATGGTTTCAAAGAGAAGAAGAACCAGGTAAGGGAAGATGAAAGAGAAAATAAGTTGTGAATGGGCAGCCATTCGAGAGTGAGTGAAGGAGAGCTAGCAGTATCAGTTGAACCCACGCTGCCAAAGGCAGTATATGATACGTATAATGTTCACTGCCTGAGTGATCGGAAGCAATCCAATTTGCCTTTTGTTGTTGTCTTGACTAGAGAAAACAATGATTGTATCTTTAATCATGTATTTGTATAATGGATAAGAAGGTGGAAGATAGATATTATAATTTTATGTTTATTTTTTGACATGTTATATAGATTTATTTTTATGAGTACTGATCGCGTTCACTGCCACGTATTCATAGTGCTAAAAATAATAATGAAACAACTAATAAGTAAAACAAAAAAAAAAAAGTGATACAAAAATCAAAAGATGACATGTGGTTGTGTTCTCTTGGGCTAGCTCTTCCCCACTTTTTCTTCACTACCCAATCTTGTCTCTGCAAGAAGAATATGAGAAATGAGAACATGTGAGAATGGGTGTCTTGTCAAAGGTGAGTGTGTTGAATGTCAATGATTATATGCCTCACCAAAATGGAAGGAGGAAATGCTCTTCCTTTGGATTTCATAATTTGGAGACCTTCGTGCAGTCGCTGTCCACTCTGCTCCATCGAGTTTGAAGCAACAGGCCTGGCTCCGTCCTCATTTCGTTTGGGTGTGAGTGAAGCGCCACAATCCACATATCTTTAGTTTGCTATAATTTCATGAAGCATCATCATGTCCTTGCACGCGGCCCTGTTTCTGCTATGCGTTATTTTCCGTCAAAAATCTTAAATTACGTCCTCAACTTCTTCACCCATCGCCACTGTTGAACCATGTGAGGGAGGTCCAATCCAATGCAGGCCTGACGCTGCTGCCAGGGTCTTTGTATGAATGTATCCCTCAATCACTAGCTTGTTCTGCTTTTTCCATGTAACTGCATGATAATGTACGAGAGTGAATGTTCATGTCAGATTCTATGGGTCTCCACTGCTCTGAAACTGAAATGTGCTATATGTCTCATGGTCACTAGATTAGTGTCTGTTCCTGTTAAAAGCTTCGGGCCTGTTTGGCAACTCGTTTTAAAAATAGTTTTTTATCCTCAAAAACAAAAGAATAAAATAATCTGTTTGATAATGTGTTTTTAAAAAATATTTAAAAAAACAAATAAAATATTGTTCTGAAAAATAAAAAAATAGAAACAACTTTTACGTATTCTGAGATTATTATTTTAGAGAATAAGAGAGAGTGAGAATATTATATTTTTATTTTCAGAACGTATTTTACAAAACACCATTTATCAAAATAATAAAATAAAAACAGTTTCAAACAGTTCCTTCATCTCTAGCACTAATTAACAATGTTTTCACAAATATACATTGCCATGAATAATAATAGATACAAATTTGAATGTATATCAGGTTTTCTTGTCCACTATGGTCATTCTTCTATTTCTATAAAGAGTTTTCAAATATAAGAGAAAATATTTCCCTTCTTGATTAGGTAAAAATATATATTTGATTCTTTAACTTCACATGATAAAAATGCCCACATTAAATTTTTAAATGTTAATTAAAAATTTTAATAAGTTTTATTTTTTTTGAAATAACAATAATTAACGTAAAAATTATCATTAGAAACTAAGGTCTCGTTTGCTTACTAGAAATGAATGAATTAAAAAAGTAAAAGTAAAAATAAGATAATTAAAAGGGATATGTAAACACATTCAAAAGGAAAAAGCATAATTTAGTTTATAAAGTTGATGATTCTCACATTTATAATATATACTAATGTATTTTATTATATTTATTATGAAAGTAAGGATAATTTAGTTCTTTTTATCTAAATTTTTTCAATCCATTCCATTCTATTTTATTCTAATAATCAAACAAGATCTAAAGATTTTAGGATTAGAGATTTAAAATGATACTTTATAAAGTTAGAGTAGCACTAATTGTGCAATTTTACACTTTTTAATTTCATACATTCTTTGATGTATTTAATTGTTGATTAATTTTTGATAGAGTTAACTTTGAATTATTTTTATGTGATAACTTCAACAAATAATTATGCAAAAAGAAGACATTATTGCTCAAATGAACTTATTTATTGATAGTTAATTGTCAGGACAGTTGTTCATCAAGATGATACGTTGATTTTTAACTTAGCTCTTGGTTAATGAAGTGGAGGTGGCCTCCTGAGCTTAGTTGCTTGCTTGAATGAATAAGCAAGCTCAATCAGTATTGGTTCTGAACCTCTCAAACCTCCAAAGCCAATCCCGATTGGCTTGCCCTCATTGTAGCCTGCAGGCACAGTAATTCCTGGATACCCTCCAATGGCAAGTATAGTAGAAAACTCAAAACCAGGGGTCACCAATGCATCTAGTTTATTCACTTTCATAACTTTCTCGATTCCATTCTTGCACAAATATGCCAGGATTGATAATGCTGCTTGTTCTTTCTTTCCAATTCCATTTGTCTTTTGAGCTACCACCATAACGTCTTGGCTATACTTGTCAGTTTTCTCCTGCAATTTGTTTAAACGGTCAAATGCTCCAAGTATACATAGTAAGAAGAAATATACATATTTTTCTTCATTATTGTCTGATAATAATTTCGATCTACCGACCTTAAAAGTAATTAACATTATCTTAACATATACAAAGAGTAGGGATATACACAACTTGCTTACCAAGTCCGCGTGTTTGTTCTTGTAGTGAATCACATCTGCTAAGGTTTTCACCGGAGAATTAATTAAAGCTTTAAGGTATGAGTTCAAGGCTAGTTTAAATTCAGCATGCATTGCAGTGAATTCATATCCCCCAGCTTCGATTATTTCAACGTCATCAATCTCCAAATTGTCAATCAGTTCTGCACCTTGCTGCCTAAATTTGATTCCAAACGTAAGCAACATGTTACAGCAATTCACTAGTATGATTTAAGCGATGCATAATAGTTTCCATTACCTTAGTGTCTTTAGGTGTTGCTCATACGTTTTCTGCAGCGAAGTACCGTTAAATTTGTAGTAATATCTCACTATCCCTAGCCTTTTACTTTCAGGCCATCTTTTCTCAGGAACTGAGCATATCCACCTTTTGGGACATATTTTGATGCTTTAATTGTTGCCTTATCCCTAACGTCAATGCCTGCAATGGCTTCAAGAACATATGCAGCATCTGAGACAGTCCTGCAAATAGGTCTGCACCATCCCACACCATTGCAGCACACTTGTTAACGGTATTCCCACTTCAAAAGCTTTGTATATCAGAAAATCCTATTTCGCAATAGTAATATAATTGTTTTAACATTTGAATGTTCGTGGTTATAACAAACTAAACTGATAACGGATCTATTCACATGATTAGATGACATGTTTTAAGCTTCTGGAGACATTCATATCGCACCATAAGTCCATAACACACAAATTTGGTGACTTGTTTAGAGAAACACACACGTTTAGGCAACTTGTTGAAATTGGCTTACCCTACCGTGTCTTGTCTTAGGGAGATTGGAACCACCCCATCTCTACTAGTGAGACCAACAGAAGGTTTGATCCCCACTACGGAGTTATAGCTGGAAGGACATAATATGGAGCCAGAGACACTACTACTAGATTTGCTGCTACTGATATTGCAGATCCGCTACTGGACCCGCAAGGATCACCCATTGTCTATGGATTCTGCAGTAAACACCATACACGGAGGCACCGATTTGTCACCACTTGAGCTGTATTTGAATATTAAAAAATGGATACAATCTTCAAAAAAAGTCAAGACATCTAGGCATTATACGCCCTACCTTCCATTCAATATCATCAAAACATGATAGACTAAAGTAAGGGCAAAAAAAGAGAGAGAGCGAAATCGATCACCTTGCCTTGTCCACCTCTAGCACTCCAACCAGAGGGTAAATTACTTCCCCTGAAATAGGACCACTCGCTCAAAGTAGCCTTCCCTAATATGACAGCCCCAGCTCTCCTCAACTTGGAGACCACCCCTGCATCTCTAGGCACCACAGAGCCCAGAAGCGCATACGACCCGGCCGTTGTGTTCATCTTATCCTTGGTTGCTATGTTGTCCTTCACCAGAATCGGGATTCCGTGCAAGCGTGGCAAAGGACGTCCTGCACTTCGACGTCGTTGTCGATCGGCCCTATCAGCCTGGGCTAGGGCATCGGGATTGAGCTCCAAGACCCCCTTGAGAATAGGGTTGAGCCTGTGGATTTCGCGAATGTAGAACTCAACGAGCTGCCTGGAGGTGAGTTGGTTCCTGCGAAAAGCAAGCTGGAGATAGCTCATCGTGGCTTCTCTTATTGATGAGAAGGAGAGGCGCTTGCCTTGTGTGGTTTTGGAGAGAAGAAGGAAGAGGAAGACGAAAGAGAGGTTAATCTCTGAGCGGGAAGCCATGAGAGGGCGAGTGAGGGAGAGCTAGAAAAAAGCATCAGTGAAATCAACTTAGCGTTTGTGCCTGAACTTCACTGTACCGTTAGTAGTGGTAGTCCAAGGTGGGAGGGAATCAATGCAGTAGGGCCCACAGGGTCATTGATGTCAGGTGTCTAATGATAATGAGTGATTATGCTCTCAAGTTGGGCGCTTAATAATTTCAAAGTTCATAAAAACGTTGAAAGCATATTTTAGTTCTTTATTATAAATTTTAATTTAATCTTTTACTTTTAAAAAAATATCAATTCAATTCTTTAATCCCGTTTTTTTATGATAAAAATTTTTTACATTATATTTTTAAATATTAATAAAACATACTTAAATATTGATATATTAAATTTAATTTTTTAAAATAATAATGATTGATATAAAAAACAGATATTAAAGTCAAATGATTAAAAAAAAAATACTTGATAAAATTTAAATATTAAATTAAAATTTTATATAAAATTAAATGATTAAAATAATTTAAAAATATTATTCTAGTATATCAGTTTAAAAATAATATTATATGAGTAGCGGTCATAATTTTCAAAGTTTATAAAAATAATATTACCTTATGAAAGTGAAAAATGTAAAAATATATAAACTGTTTTTGGGTCAACAAAATGGTGGATGTAACTAGCAAAAGTGGCAATCTGAAGTAGTGGGTACACGGGGTGGGCCTCGAGTCCACGGCAACGAGAACGCAAGAAGGAAGGATAAGAACAAGATAAGAAACACCTTCGCATTGGGAAGCTTCTTCCATGTTTCATTGTTCACCATCTGTATTTACTTTGCATAGATTTTTATTATTATTATATTAAATGAAGTTTGCTATTTTTTGGTTACTGTGTTGATCATTATGAGATTCATCAAAATCGAACATCATTCTTTTTTTTCTTTTTTATTTTAACTTTTTTGAGTTTCTATGTTGATATTTCAAAATATTTTAATTTAGGGAATTACTACAAAATAATAATGGATTTTAAAAAATTAGATATTCATTCATTAATATAAAAATGGACCTTTTTTTTATTGCACACATCCATCTTTTTATTCAACATAATCATATTCAAGTCATGTTCATGCATTAATGCACTATTTAGTAGGTAAAAAATTGTTTTTTTAGATAAAGAATAAAAAATATACATACCTATTTTCTTTCTAGAAAATACTTTTGTATGTTAGACATTTTTCAAATGAGAGCATTTTTTTTAGGGAAATGTAAACCTCAACTCACTGGAGAACTAACATGTTTAGCTAAACTCAACTCCCGTGGATTAAAATGGAATCATATTATGAGTTAATTAACGTGACAATCTCAGGTTGCAATCAGTGGTCAACCAGCCGAAAGACGACCTTGATAGCCCTGTCCGCCAGATGAATTGACCAAAAGGCAATAATATTTATAATTGAAGTGTCTCAAATCTCAATATTTGTAATTGAATTGCTTTATTCACAGATGACCATGAAAAATAATTACGAACTGAACAAGAATTTACTAGCACTGGATTCAGATTGTTGGAAAGTGATGGCGACAACACACAAATTCTGAGAAATGGGAAGCGATGACTGCAACAAACAACGGCATCCTCTGTTCACTTTAACTTAAGCTTTTAGCTTATGAATGCGCGGAGGTGGCCTCCTGACCTTGGTAGCTTGTTCAAATGAATAAGCAATTTCAATAAGCTTTGGCTCTGAGCCTCTCAACCCACCAAAGCAAATCCCGAATGGCTGGTCCTTCTTGTACCCTGCAGGCACAACAATTCCAGGATAACCTCCAATGGCAAGTACACGACTAAAGCCTGAACCAGGGATCACCACTGCATCTAGTCTATTCATTTTCATAAGTTTCTCAAATCCATTCTGCGACAACCTTGTCATGTTTAATAATGCTTCCTTTTCTGTTTTTCCCATTCCATTTGTCTTTTGAGCTTCCACCATAGAGTCCTGGTCATACTCATCAAGTTTCTCCTGCAATTTTCTATACACTGTCAAATGCTTCACAAAAACTTTTATTTTCACCATACCACTTTAACTTGGTGTCTACTATCACATGTATTAAGAGAGACTATATATAACTCTCATAAACTATAGTCTAATAATGTTTTATTTCGCAGCCTGTAAAATGAAATACTTCAAGTATCACAGATACGAAAACATTTCATAACAGTTAAATGATGTGATTATCATATGATGTCTCATACTTTAGGGGAATGAGAAGTTTGCAATCACGCGAGGGGGAGAAGTGGCCTCATGCTACGTTTTAATATTAGGGCAATAAAATGGTAAGTTTAAAAGCTTATGTATCAAGTTGTAACTAAGCTATAGTTCAAGGAGGTTATATATAGTTTTCCATACAAATCAAACATGAACAAAATCCTTACCAATTTTGCATGTTTCTTGTTGAAGGCAATTACATCTGCCAAGGTTCTCACTGGGGAAGCAACCAGGTCTTTAAGGTATGAGTTCAGGGATACTTTGAATTCAATTGACATTGCAATGTCTTCACTTGAGCCATTAAAGAGTTCATCAATGTTATCTATCACCAAATTGTCAACCAAAACAGCGCCTCGTTGCCTAAAATATGAATCAAAGTATGAATAGCTTACCCGACAATTTGTTAGAACAGCTTTGAGCCATTCATAATAGTTTTCAATATATACCTTATTGTCTTCAGGTGTTGCTCAAAAGTTTTCTGCCAGAAAGTATCACTGCCAAAATCGTAGAAGCGTCTCACTATTCCAACTCTCTTTCCTCTTAAGCCATCTATTCTCAGAAACTGAACATATCCACCTTTTGGGACATACTTCGATGCTTCAATGGTTGCCTTATCCCTAAAGTCCTCGCCTGCAATGGCTTCAAGAACACATGCAGCATCTGATACAGTCCTGCAAATAGGTCTGCAACATTCCGCACCATTGTACACGTGTTAAAGTATCCTTACTGCAGAATGTCTTCTCTATCAAAAAACGCATTTGCAGATGAAAATGTACCATTTGCCCCTCCATGATACCACACACTTCTAACTATAGAATTCTTTATCACTTTAATACACACATGATTAAACTCGTTCAAAATTGAATGAAAAATATCAGCATGAATAATAAAGAACAGGAAAAAAAATCATGAGATTAGATGACACATTTTAAACCATATGAGACAGACCCATGTGGAAACATAACACACAATTTTGCAATTTGTACAAGAACATCACCACGTATTTGATGTATCACCACAAGTTGACTTACCCTACTGTGTCTTGTCTGGGGGTGATGGGAACTACGCCGTTTCTACTAGTGAGACCAACGGTTGGTTTGATGCCCACTTCAGAGTTATATTCCGAAGGACATAAAATGGAGCCATCAGTCTCAGTACCAAGAGACACAGTTACAAGATTTGCTGCTACTGATATTGCAGATCCGCTACTAGACCCGCAAGGATCACTCATTGTGTATGGATTCTGCAGTAAACACCATAACACGGAGGCACCGATTTATCACCACTTGAGCTGTATTTGAATATTAAAAAATGGATACAATCTTCAAAAAAAGTCAAGACATCTAGGCATTAGACGCCCTACCTTCCATTCAATATCACCAAAACATGATAGACTAAAGTAAGGGCAAAAAAAGAGAAAGAACGAAATCGATCACCTTGCCTTGTCCACCTCTAGCACTCCAACCAGAGGGTAAATTACTTCCCCTGAAATAGGACCACTCGCTCAAAGTAGCCTTCCCTAATATGACAGCCCCAGCTCTCCTCAACTTGGAGACCACCCCTGCATCTCTAGGCACCACAGAGCCCAGAAGCGCATACGACCCGGCCGTTGTGTTCATCTTATCCTTGGTTGCTATGTTGTCCTTCACCAGAATCGGGATTCCGTGCAAGCGTGGCAAAGGACGTCCTGCACTTCGACGTCGTTGTCGATCGGCCCTATCAGCCTGGGCTAGGGCATCAGGATTGAGCTCCAAGACCCCCTTGAGAATAGGGTTGAGCCTGTGGATTTCGCGAACGTAGAACTCAACGAGCTGCCTGGAGGTGAGTTGGTTCCTGCGAAAAGCAAGCTGGATGTCGCTCACCGTGGCTTCTCTTATTGATGAGAAGGAGAGGTGCTTGCCTTGTGTGTTTATGGTCATGGAGAGAAGAAGAAGAAGAAGGAATGGGAATATGAAAGAGAGGCTAAGCCCTGACGAATGGGAAGCCATGAAAGTGTGAGTGAAGCAGAAGCAGAAGCAGCAGCAGGAGACTAATAAACAGAAGTTTTAGTGGCAATGACCAGTAAGAATGAGTGATTATGCTCTCACAGTTGACACCTAAAAAACAGAAGGGAAGCCATGTCGATCACGTGGATTGACCGAGTAGAATTCGATGATAGACTATTATGGCAAAACCATATTAGCCCGTTAAAAGCATTTTTTACCAAATTTTAGTATCAATAAAATAATTAATTATCTTTTAATTTTATATTTTTTATATTTATATTTATTTAATAAAATATTTTATTTTAAAATAAATATAAAATAATTTAATTAATAAAAATATTTTTTTAAAAAAATCAATAATTATATTTTAAAAGATTAAATATCTAAACTCTCAAAAAATGCTTTAGTTTTTTATCAAAAAAAGTATATATTAATAAAGTTGATTAAATTAAATATATTTTTAAATTTTATTTTTTAAAATATAAATATAAATTTTTAAAAATATTTTTAATATATTTCTTTATAAAAATATTAAAAATAAATAATAAAATAAAATAAAATTATTAAAAAATATTAATAAAAATTTATTTTTATCAAAATATTTACACTTTGAGATGCAAAATCTCCCTTTAACCCTGAGTGCTTTGTAATTGCGTGAGAAGAGTATCTTCGATAATTTTTTATTCACATGTTGACCATGACTCAACACAATGTGTAAAGACTTGCTTTTAGGTTGGCGAGAGGGGTCTTGGCTTTTATTAATTTTTTTCTTTTCCCTTTTTCAACAACTATTTTTGTGCTCGGTTCTGTCATCTCAAATTGAGATAAATTTTTAATATAGTTTTTTTTATTTACAAGATTCAAATATTTAAACTCGTTTAAAGGGTATGGTTCATGAAATCCGGATCCCCCTCATTTAGTCTCAAAATATTTGTTTTCTCTCTCTGTTTTTAAGACCATGTTATGTTTTTCCTTTTAAAGACGCCACTAAACATTTTTCATGAGGAAAAAAAAAGATAAAACTAAAAATAAAAGACCATTATAAATTCTTTCTTTCTTCCTTTTGGGATTCAATATTGATATTTTAAAATATTTTAACTCTAAGGGATTGCTTTAAAATAATAAAGCAGTATAGAATATTAAATAATCATATATAATAGAAAAGTGGAAATATTTTATAATTCAAACTGACAATCTCAGACGCCATTCGAGACCGCAAAGCCCAAAGACAACATATTATTTAACTGGTATAAATATCTATGTCATTAATGAAAGTTTATAATTCCCATAGTTTTACAAATAGCAATACAGTCTGTTATACAAAAAAAAAAAGGTAACAATACAGCCTGTTGCCCCAAATAAAAAATAAATTTATACAGGTCTGGCTTAACAAAACGGAACCCGTACATAATCCCAACTTTAAATTCATAACGAAAACTAGAAACTACTATATAGGTCGAAAAACAAGCTGCATCTGTTGCAACACAGAACGTAAATAATAGTGACAATAAAATAAATAAATAAAACTAACAACGACAATTACAAGAAAATTATAGGGAGAATATGATAAACTTATATATATATATATATATATATCACATCCTTACAAGTACGATACAAGCCATATTTTGAACCTGATTCTTTCTTGATAACCTTACAAGTGAATGCTCAACTAAGAGCTTCCTGCGAATACTTTTGCGGCTATACAATATGAGGGTCACTCTCCACTCCGCCATTGCAAAGCCCAAAAGGGTACAAGAAGTAATGATCGCGTATCTTCTAAAATCGGCTTTTCTTCATGTACTATTGCTCACATGGTCTATAAGTAAGACATTTGACTTCAAGAATCTAGAAAATCTCCCCATGAAGCTGAATCTTTAATGGTGACTGGATTGAAATTTCAAAATGATGCTTATCCCCAAACGTAGAATCCATCTTCATTTCCAGATTTAGTCAAACACTTGCTTGAACCCTCCTTCTCTGCCCCCGAGCAACAAGCAGCTCAGAATCCTACACATTTAAGGACAAGAATTCATGATGTTATCACGTTAGTCTTTCTTTCAATAAAAGTGTTTCCATATTTATAATTGAAGTGCTTTATTCATCAATGGCCTTGTAAAGTAATGTCATCAGAAAATGTATGATTTTTCCTAACCCAAAATAATAGCGAACTCAGCCAATTCTAGAATTCTACCAAAGCGTGTCCAGATAGAATTTCTGGGTAATGATTATATCATATTGTTGATGCAAGCTATGAAGACATTCGGCTCCAGCTTTACCTGTACAATAGCCTGCGCACAGAGCTTTCCGGAAAGAACAGCACCTTCCATTGAAGCTAAATACTTTTGTTTTGTATAATCACCAGCTAAATAAAAACCCTCTATTGGAGATCTTTGTACAGGACGGCAAGGCTCGCAATTTGGAACAGTTTTATAAACAGACCTGACAAATATTCAGTACAACCACATGAGTCAACCAGATGTAATTGCTTCCTAAATCTTCTATATATCTAACACAGCTGAAAGGAGGTGAAAATGCCTGCAAAAACTAATTTCATAACAACTAATTTTCCATCATTTAGTTAACACTTAACAGTCAATATTCAAAGAACTAGGGAATTATCCATCTCTATGACAAATCAACCAAACCTTGGTGTTTTAACAACATGGTACTTGATGATCTTCGCTTTGCTTTGGTCTGCAGAAATTTCATCCGGAAATAGTTTGGAAAGTTCCTTCATTGTAGCCTCAATAATATCTTCATCACTGCGTGAAATCCATTCTTCAGCTGGTGCAAAAACTAACTCCAGCATAGATTGGTTTGGGCTATAATATTCCTGCATAAGATAACAAAACACAAAAAGCGTACACGAATAGCTGAAATCTAAAATGATTTGTGCAAAGAGAGAAAAACAACAGGAGAGAAGAGATTGTATGGGAACAAATGCATCTTGGTGGCTTGAGGAAATACATCAAGACAAATCTATTAAAAATGGGAAGTGGCTTTACCTTACAAGTTACTGACATGTCAGCATATACACTCAGGAGGGGACTTCTGCATGAAGGAAACAAGATATGTACATCTGTGAGGGTGAGGTCCGGAAATCATTGACAATTTTCATAATCAACAAATAACTGGAAGCTAAATTGCAAATAAGACCCTACCACATTCTCCTATCCCAAAGTTACAGGCCCTTCTCATCTCAATGAACAAAGTCCTCATCAAAACCTCAACTACCAAGGTAACAGACAAGGGGGCAAAAACATCTTACACAATTTTATTGGAAGTTTTAGAACACCAAGCAAATAAAATCAATGCTCCAACTAGAAGGGGAGTGCTAAGAGTGTTCTAGAAAGAATATGATCGTCACATGGTAGTTAGGCTTTATAAAAACAATAACAGACTATGGTTTGCAAATAAAATTGAATATTTCACAATGGTGGACAAATAATATAATAAAGGTCTGCACATTTAACAAACGCATGACATGGCTAAGAGGTAAGGATTTGCTTTTGAGCTGGTTGGTCCAACCTGATTTTCTCAGCACATGAAATTATAAGCCACGAATCAAATGAGACATCAAGCATGCAGAATTTTGAGCCATTTTGGACATTTTAGTTTATCCAAAGTAAGAGAAAGACCTGCTAAAGAGTAGGTGATCATATGTGTTCTTCAGTTTTCTATCAAACCTGCACAAGACATAAATGTTTGTTAGCAAACCAGTGGGAAATGTACTTCTGACTAAGATCAAAATATATCTTCGTCCTTGTCGGAAGAAAGATTAATTAACATGTAAAAAGTGAAAATGAAAAATAATTTTGTGCACACTGCAAGGGATGTCCAACAACTGTCTAATGCTTCACCTTAGTAGCAAGGACAAATATAAGATAAAACTTTGTCAGGAATATTACTTTTATTCAAAGGATGCTGATAAGCAATTCATGCTTTCCCAGCGACTAAAATGGGAGTATTAGGGCCTGTTTGTTTGTGTTCCTATTTTTTAGTTTTTTAAAAACTATTTTGCAATATAGTTTTTAAAATTGCTTCTCAAAACAAAACAGAAAGACAATCTATTTGATTATATTAATTTAAAAATAGTTTAAGAATTAAAAAAAAAATTGGCCAATAGTGACAGTTGCCAACAATTAATGGTAATGGCTTATGATAATTATTGGTTAAGGTGACTATAGTTTTCAATAACCAAATGTAATGTATTTCAAAAAATAAAAAAAAAAGTAAAATGAAAATAGCTTTAAGATGTTTCCATATTTTTGTTTTCAAAAATAAAAAATGAGAACAATTTCAGAAACAATTAAAATTAAAACACTTATCCCAACGAGTTTTTTATTTTTTATTTTTTTTTGTTTTAATAAAAAAAAAGCAAACAGGCTCTTAAACTCTACATTTTGCTAGCAACAATAAGACCATAACTATAACAATTAAATAAAAGCAAACTTGGCAAGCATAAAGACGAGCAGACGGTTTTCCAAAGTAAAAGTCATCACTGACCATATGTGAACATTTATGACTGGAACTCCAACCAGTTTCTCCAATTTCTTAAAATATGGAATTTCTTTCCAGTCGCTTGGCAGAAGAAGCTTCAAGATATCAACTAAGTGAATAAAAGTAAAAATGTGAAGAAACAGAAGAATGCCCAAAAAAATCAATTAATTATAAGGAGATGCCATAAGACAAATGATACCTGGAGTCGCGAACACATAAGCATCCCCATCAATCACCTTCCCATTATTTAATAACAAGTTCTTTACAGTCCCTTCATCATTCAGCTCAATTTTTTGAATGCGAGAATTCAGATGAACTTCACCACCCAAGGATTGAATATGATCAACAATTGGCATACAAAGTCTTTCTGGAGGATTCCCATCCAAAAAGGCCATTTTTGAACCATGCTTCTCCTATTAAAATAATTAATAATATACAAACCATTAAGCTTTGCTTTGTAAGAGCAGTGCTCTACAGAAATGACTATCCTCCACGACTCCACTCTCTCTATTCATTATTCCAAGCAAAATCAAAGAACAGGGAATGTGCATAGAATGGGCTAAAGGGGGTGGCAGAAAGAATAATTCATGGCGTGGCACGGGGTAAAACCAAATATGGCATAGAACAGAAATGTGGGATGCCATCCCAGCGATCACAACTCATGTGAGTCACTGGAAGCTGAAGGCTGAAGCATGAGTGCGAATACAAGCCCCACATTTGCCGGGTATGATAGATGGAACTCTCTATTTTCTAAGCATGAAAAGTGAAAACTCTTCCTTCTAGCTTTTAGACAGGGGTTCTCCTTTGATTAGGTTCCTCAATCACACAAATCATTCTCCTAATGGATATCTGATATGCCTTCGAAATTCTGAAAGTTATAATTGTTTTAGGAGCAAAGAAGATGAGGATGTAATGTCTACTTTGTTCAACTTTACAATTTGAAAATATGATCCATTTTTCCATTAAAAATTGGTTTGACCTGCTTATGATTTTCAGCTAATGGTCTTGTACGCATAATTGAAAATTTGTCAAGAATCATCTGTTCTAAAACAAATCATGTTAATTACAGCTTAAATGATTTCTGATTATTAATCTGCATCCATTAAAATATGACACAGGGTGATAAGAATCTAGATAGAATTCAAATAAAGACTTATTCAAGAAGGAAGTGTCAGAAGATAAATTAGGATTCATTTTATTTGATTTAAATATTTCAGGAGATTTTATATTTCTTCAGATTTTATTCAGATATTTCGTTCTAGATTTTATTTAGATTTCATTTAGTATTTTATTTAGAGATTTTATTTAGATTTCATTCAAATTTAGATTTTAGGAGATTTTATTTAGGTTTTTGTTTAATTATCCAGTTATCTAGAATTTATTCATTATTTTGTTTGGCTTTATAAATATGACCAACAACTTAGAAGCTAACATATCATCATCAATAAAACAGCCTTTTAAAGCCTTTGAAAATTCTCCTAAGCGTGGCTATAGTGAGAAATATAGAATGAGATTGCTCAAAATCATCTCTTCTTATTCCCTTTTGTTATTTTGAGCACCGAAAAATTTGACATTAGAGCCATGGTTACCACATGTATTGGCCAAGAAACCACCCCTTCTGACAACTCATCCAACAATAACGTTGAAAATCCAAACTCCCTCCTATTAGATAATTTAGCCACCATGGTGCAAAAGCTTGAAACTCTTGATTTATTATAAGAAAGGGTTGAGGCACTTGAGGCCTCTACAATCAGTAAAGACAAGAAGCCTAGAGATACACATCACAGGCGCTATTATGAAAATGAAGAAAGCAAAGATGAGCAAGAAAATCACAGGCACACTAAATTTCATTGCACCAAAATTGAATTTTCAAAATTCAGTGGAGGTGACCATGAGGATGAATCTTAAAGGCTGAAAAGTACTTTAAATATTATAACACACCTGAAAAAGAGAAGGTAGACGTAGCATCACTGACACTGGAGGGTGATGTGCTAGAATTGTTCGCTTGGATCAGCCACGAGCAAACTCTTCACTACTAGGATGAGCTTGTAATGGCCTTCAAAGAGAACTTTGGACCACTTGAATATTAAAATCTAGACAAACTCCTAATAGCATCAGGCAAGAAGGTTCATGTAGTGAATGAGCCGAGAAACTCTTGTATATTCATCTAAGGTATGCACGAGAATATATACAGGAGAGAAAACAATCATATCTCCGAGAATCATGGAGATTGATTCAAAAAGAGGAGAAATAGGAAATAATCTCGTACTTCCTACTCTTAACTACCCAGTATCCCATAAAATAATAACAAATATTTACATTGAATATAATAAATACTAGGTCTAACCACACTCCCCCTCAAGTTGGATCATAGATACTAAACATGTCCAACTTGCTTATACAACTATCAAATGCTGTTCTTTGTAATCCTTTGGTGAGCACATCAGCAGCTTGGAGTCTTGTTGGCAGATAAATGAGACAGACGACTCCTTCTTCAACCTTTTCCCTTATAAAATGTCTGTCAATCTCCACATGTTTGGATCTTTCATGCTGAACTGGATTTAGAGCCATACTTATTGCCGCTTTATTATCACAATAAAGCTTCAATGGGGAATCAATTCTGACATGTATCTCATCCATGACTCTTTTTACCCATAGTACCTCTGAGATGCCTTGAGCTAGAGCCCTTAGTTCTGATTCTGCACTACTTCTTGAGACCACTCTTTGCTTCTGACTCTTCCAAGAGACTAAATTTCCCCATACGAAGGAACAGTAACCTGATGTTGACCTCTTATCCTTGTATGTTCCTCCCCAATCTGCATCTGTATATATTTCTATAGATCTTAGGTTTTGTTTCTTAAACAGCAATCCTTTTCCAGGTGTGCCCTTTAAGTACCTCAAGATTCTGTATGCAGCTTCCATATGTCTCTCTCTAGGGTCGCACATATACTGGCCTGCAACGCTTACTGCGAAAGCTATGTCTGGTCTAGTGTGAGAGAGATAAATTAGTTTACCAACTAATCTTTGGTATTTTTCTTTGTCTACTGGCTCATTCTTTTCTTCTTCTTCTTCTTCTTCAGTTTCCCCTTTTTTTTTCTTAACAACAATGGGTGTGTCTACAGGTCTGCATCCCAACATGCCAGTTTCGGCAAGTAAATCAATAATATATTTTCTTTGGGACACATAAATCCCTTGCTGTGACCTTGCAACCTCCATGCCTAGAAAATACTTCAAGTTGCCTAAGTCTTTCACTTCAAACTCCTTTCCCAGAGCCCTCTTTATTCTATCCACCTCCTCCTTATGATCACCTGTGACAATTATATCATCAACATATACAATGAGGATACATCTTTTTCTATTTTCCCTCTTCACAAACATAGTGTGATCAGCCAACCCCTGCTTATACCCTTCAGCTCTCAAAACTGTTGAGAATCTGTCAAACCAAGCTCGAGGTGATTGCTTTAACCCATACAAAGATTTTTTCAGCTTACACACTTGATTGGTTCTCCCTTCCTCAAAACCTGGGGGTAAAGTCATGAAAACTTCTTCTTTTAGGTTACCATTTAAGAAGGCATTCTTTATGTCTAGTTGATGCAGGGGCCAGTCCAAGTTTGCAGCTACAGAAATCAAAATTCTGATAGTGTTAAGCTTGGCCACAGGTGCAAATGTTTCTTTGTAATCCAAGCCATATGTTTGAGTAAACCCCCTTGCCACCAACCTTGCTTTCAATCTGTCTAATTTTCCATCAGCATCATATTTAGGGGTAAATACCCACTTACAGCTCACAATTTTCTTTCCTTTCGGAAGATCTACTATCTCCCATGTGTCATTCTTTTCTAGGGCATTTACTTCCTCCATTACAGCCTTCTTCCATTCAGGTACACTCAGTGCTTCATGCACATCATTAGGAATCTTTACCTTGTCAAGATCAGTTATAAATGCACGAAATTGTGAGGATAATGTATGGTAACTCACAAACCTCTGAATAGGATGTTGTGTGCAGGCCCTCGGTTGCTTTCTGAGAGCTATAGGTAGGTCTAACTCATCCACTTCCTTCCTTTCGGTCACTGCTTCTTCCTCGGATTCTTGAGGAAACACAGCACCTTCTACATTCTCCGCTTCAGGAACCTCTTTCAGTTCAGATTCTGGTTGTGCGTCAGTCATAATAGTCTCCCTCTTTTTCCATTTCTTCCTTGAGTAGGTTATTGGTGTCTTGTTCAGTGCAATACCAGCATCTTTATTATATTTTGAAAGACTTTTCACTTCAGTTTCTGGCCTAAGAACCCAAGAATTTTCTGGTATAGGTAACAAAGGATCTAAGCTCGTGAACAAAGGATCGTGGATTGAGTATTTCTCACTTTCCAAAGGCTGAAGATCACTCCCTCTCTCCCCCTGAATTGAGGCATTTGGATAAAAAGGTTCATTTTCATCAAAGGTAACGTCCCGGCTGATGTAAAGTCGTTTGGTAGTTGGGTCAAAACATTTATACCCCTTTTGTGTGGAAGAGTAACCAAGAAAGAGACATTTGACAGCTTTGGGTTCCAATTTATGGGAATGATGAGAATGAACATAAGTGGTACAGCCAAAGATTTTGAGGGGAATATTAGTGGTGAGGTGAGTGACAGAGTGACATTCTTGTAATTTTTCAAGTGGTGAAATATAAGAGAGAACACGACTTGGCATGCGGTTGATTAAGTATGTAGCTGTGAGAATTGCATCACCCCAAAAGAATTTGGGAACATTGTAGGTAAAGAGTAAAGCACGTGCAACTTCTAACAGGCGTTTGTTTTTCCTTTCCGCAATGCCATTTTGTTGAGGGGTATTCGGACAAGTGCTTTTATGAATAATTCCATGTTCTGTTAGAAACATATGCATGGTGTTATTGAAGTATTCAGTTCCATTATCAGTATGAAGCACTTGAATTGTGGTGTCAAATTGGTTTTTTATCATTGTATAAAACTCAGAGAACACAGAGGGAACAGAGGATTTATCTTGCAATAAGTAAACCCAACACATCCTAGTATGATCATCAATAAATGTGATGAACCACTTTGTATTAGTTCGATTAGTGACACGAGTAGGACCCCACAAATCACTATGAATGATAGAAAAAGGACGAGTAGATTTGTACTCAATAGGTTTGAAAACGGATCTGTGATGTTTAGCGAGCTCACAATCAGTACAATGAAATGGAGTGTTTTTATTGACTTGAAATTCTGGAAACAGACGACATAAATATTGAAAATTTGGGTGACCTAGTCTCCTATGCCATAACATAAGATCTTTAAAGTCTTTATTTTCATAGGTAGATGCGACATTGCATTGAATTCGAGACCAAAGACTACTCACGGTTGATTCATCAAGGTAGTAAAGACCATTATGCACCTTATCACTCCCAATCATCTTCCCCGAT